AGATGTAAGACCTTTCACTGTCTGTCTGTATCTCTCTCTTTCCTCTCTTTCTCTCTCTCTGCCACTCCTTCACTCTGTGTGACTCTTTCAATTAAAAAAATAAATCTTAAAAAAAAAAAGAAAAGAAAAATATACTAGATTGTGAATCTGAGGAGATATAAGAAATGCAAGAAATGGAACTCAAAAAATTGATCATAATGTTTCATAGAAGTAACTACTGAAACCCACGCAGGACATGAAAGAACATTTCTCCCATGAAATTGAGATCTTAAAGAGGAATCAAAATGAAATGAAGAATTCAATAGAACATGAAATTGAGATCTTAAAGAGAAATCAAAATGAAATGAAGAGCTCAATAGAACAAATAAAAAATGCAATGGAGAGGCTTAAAAACAGAATCGGTGAAGCAGAAGAGAGACTATTGGACTTAGAAGCCAACACACAGGAAAGTATACAGTCAAACCAAAGACAAGAAGAGGAAATTAGAAATCTATAAAACACGATTAGGAATCTACAGCATACCATACTTAAAAAAAATAACAGCAGAAAACTCCCTGGGTTTGGAGAAGGAAAGAGACATCCAAGTACAGGAAGCACACAAAACTCCCAATAGACATGACCAGCAAAGTTCATCACCACAACACGTTGTAATCAAACTCACCACAGTGAAACATAGAGAAGATTCTAAAATGCACAAGAGAGAAATGCCAGATTATTTTCAGAGGATCTCCAATGAGACTCCCAGCAGAATTCTCATCAGAAACCCTCCAGGCTAGGAGAGAATGGCAAGATATAGTCTAAGTCTTGGGAGAAAAAAAAAAAAACTGTCATTCCAGAATATTATATTCTGCAAAGCTCTCATTTGTCAATGAAGGTGAAATAAAGACTTTGCATACTAAACAGAAATTGAAAGAATTTGTCACCACCCGTCCAGCCCTGCAAAAATGCTTAAGGATGCACTGCACACAAAAACACAGAAACATGATAATCAATACAAAACAAGGTAAAGGAAGAAAATTTCTTAGTAAAAGATCAAAGTTCAAAGTATAAATTAAGACTATCTTTGGAAAAATGGCAGGGCAAAGTCATACTTATCAATAGTCACATTGAATGTAAATGGCCTCAACTCCCCAGTTAAAAGGCACAGACTGGCAGAATGGATTAAAAAACAAAAGCCACCTATTTGCTGCCTACAAGAAACACATCTCACCAACAAGGATGCACACAGACTGAAAGTGAAAGGATGGAAAAAGATATTCCACGGTAACAGAAACGAAAAAAGAGCTCTCGTAGCCATCTTAATATCAGACAAAATAGACTTTAACACAAAAACTGTTAAAAGAGACAAAGAGGGGCACTATATAATGATTAAGGATCAATTCAACAGGAAGATGTAACTCTTATAAACGTATAGGCACCTAATTACAGGGCACCTGGCTATTTAAAAGAAATGTTAAGGGATTTAAAGGGAGACTTAGACTCCAATACAATATTATTGGTGGACTTCAAAACTCCACTTTCAGCAACGGACAGCTCAACCAGATAGAAATTCAACATGGAAACTGCAGATTCAATTGACAGGTGAAACAGCTGCTCCCCCACCTCCACTAACAAGAAATGCTGCCAAGGCCACAGGGAGCCTGGTAGAAGAGACTGCGGGAGAACCAGGAAGACCAAGAGGTGCCACTCAGTTGCCAGCCCTGTCGGGGTGGCAGGAAGGCAAGGGGTCACCTGGGCTGGCAAGGTCATTCATACGTCTGAAGGTTTAGACTGCTGGATTAAGTGCATTTTGCTTCAGTGGCTTAACCCTGGTGCAGCAGTCAGCAGTGGAGGGGGTTTAAGGAACATGAAGGGAAGCTCAGCGAAGAGTCTGTCATAGTAAAACGGATTAGGCCTTCAAAGGCAAGTGGCAGGCATTTCTGCGAAACTCACAGGGATGGCACGGCCATGGGAACCGAGTCAAGGAAAAGACACTCAGGGAGAATTTACAGGGTCCTCTGGCTCCACGGGTGCTACAGTAACTGCAGATGGGGCAGCTTACTAGAAGTCATGAAATCGTGTATTGTGGGGGTTACTCCGTAAATCTGTAAAACTAGGGAGCAGGAGTTCAACCTAATAATGGTGAAGACACCAAAGATGGTTAAGACACCCAGATGGGAACTCTCACTTTCTCTCTCCACCTGTCTCTCTCTCTCTCTCTCTCTCTCCCTCCCTCCCTCCCTCCCTCCCCTCAAATAAATTTTCAAGAATTTTTTTTTTTAATTTGTAAAAGTAGCTCTATGTGAAAGGTTTACACAATGGACTATAAAGGGGGCATGAAAGACTTCTCTGGGGCTGAAAATGTTCTGCTGTTTATGTAGAGTTAATACTCCTCAAAAGACATCAACTGGTGCACTTAAAATATGCAAATGTTATTATATAAAACCATACATCCATAACTTTTTCTTTAAATAGTTAAACATGAATATATATTGATTATGTAACAATAAAAGGTTACTGTAACTAAATCTCTAATCAACTAACCAGTTCATCAACTTACAGGCAGCAAATGTTGACTTTGAGACCACAGATGGGTATAGATTGCAACAGTAGCGGACTGAGTTTTAGTAGAGATCAGTTTACTTGGGCAAAAATGTAACATTTCTGTTTCTTAGTAATAAACTACATTTTTTTTGAAGCCTCTTTGTGAAACAGATGTGCACCCATAGCCTCACTGGGCAAACTGATGCTGGTGTGTGCACTCGATGTGCGGGAATTTAGAAAACCCTAAGATTTTGCTTCCAGGGTGGCTCAGAGTCCTCAGGCGCCCTGAATTGCAGTGAGCACAGTGGAACTGGCCAGCCTATCCTTGCTCTTCGTCTGCTACTTTTTGAATTATGTCGTCCATATTTTGTCAATAATTATTTCTCATATCATAGGCATTAATTAGTTTTCAGCAAAGGCCTACTGGACCAAAGCTGACGGGGGTGGGAAGAGGGTAGAGATCAGACATCCATGCACATCAGTGTCTTTAGAAAGCTGGTAGCACAGCTTTCTCCAGCTAAGTTTTACAAGGAATTTGGCCTTATCTTTTCACCTTTTTGGTGTCTCATATTTAGGTCACAGACCCTTAGCTTTTCTAGTCAAAAGTGATTTTCAAAAATCTAAAAAGTTGGCCGGCGCCGCGGCTCAACAGGCTAACCCTCCACCTAGCGGCGCCGGCACACCGGGTTCTAGTCCCGGTCGGGGCGCCAGATTCTGTCCCGGTTGTCCCTCTTCCAGGCCAGCTCTCTGCTGTGGCCAGGGAGTGCAGTGGAGGATGGCCCAAGTGCTTGGGCCCTGCACCCCATGGGAGACCAGGAGAAGCACCTGGCTCCTGCCTTCGGATCAGCGCGGTGCGCCGGCCGCGGTGACCATTGGAGGGTGAACCAACGGCAATGGAAGACCTTTCTCACTGTTTCTCTCTCTCACTATCCACTCTGCCTGTCAAAAATAAATAAATAAATAAATAAAATTTAAAAAATAATCTAAAAAGTTTATAAATGCAAACTGGAAGTATTTTTTGTCTGGCTCATCAGTTTCATAGAAATCAGCAACTAAAAGATGATGAAAATACATGTCTAATACACTTGGAGGACCAATATTAAGAAATTCTTTATCTTATGCTCCAAACTCATTGAAAAAATATTCTTTGGCATGTTGTCTATTTCCTGGGCATTAATCATTTTTTATAGGCCTGAGTAGTCACACTGAATGTTAGAACTTCAACAAGGAATTGGGATTCTAGAGAGGTACCCAAATAAATTCAGCTCATAATAACATCCATGGATTTTTAAAAGTTATTCTCAACATAAATTGAAAATATCACCACACTTCCTCTTAGACGGAGTATTGATCTAAAATCAGCTTATCAATCAAGATTGTGGATCAATGTGGGGTAGGTGAATATTGCTAGAGGAAGAAACACTGGGCACAATAAATGAGAAACGACATGATATATAGTGCCTATCAGAAATGCTCAGATACAGATATTATTTTTTATCCATAATATTTTAAACTCTGTTCAAAACCTTATTATTGAATTCAATAATGAACTGAAGTGAAATTTAATCACAGAAATTTGAAACTTAGCCCTAGATACCAGTTGCAATGAAAATTAAATTAGAAAATCTAACAGAACCTAGAAATCACAATGACAAATGCCACAAGGATCATGAAAATACATAGAACAGTGAACTGAAAATTGGATCAAAGTTATTTATAGTGATATAGCTTTGGAATGTAAGAGCTATGCTCATTAATAATATGCCACTCAAAAAATAGTCTTTGGATAATTGACATTTTTCATAAATTAATATGATTAATTGCAATACTGTAATGTATGTTACATTAATTAGGATAATAGATTTTAAAGCTACAACAGAATATCCCAAAACATAATGTTTTGAGAAATACAGAAGTTCTTTTCCTGCCCTATCGTAACAGAATCCAGAGGTGAGTGATCGAAGCCCATGTGCTGTCTCTGCTCCCCTAGGTCGTCTGGGGGTCCAGCTGCCTTCTGTGTTTTTGCTCTGCTCTCTCCTTGGTCACTGCTCTCACTTGCAAGCTAGATTTTGCCACATGTACATTTTAGTTATCAAGAAGAGAAACAGATGAAGAGTGTGACAGGTGGCAATATCTCAGTATATAAACTGAAAGTTGGAACTGTTGCTACCTCTGTGGCTCATAAGCCAGACACTGTAGCTGGACACATGACTGGGGTGACAAAGATTCTCTTCTTTTTCATGCTTTTAAAATTTTACTTAAGGTATACAAATTTCATGTATTTCACATTTAGGAACATAGTGATTCTTCCCACCCTACCCTCCCTCCTGCCCACATTCCCACCCTTTTTCCTCCACTCACTCTCCTTTTTTTTTTTTAAGGTTTTTTTTTTTAACTTTTATTTAATGAATATAAATTTCCAAAGTACGACTTATGGATTACAATGGCTTCCCCCCCCATAACGTCCCTCCCACCCACAACCCTCCCCTTTCCCACTCCCTCTCCCCTTCCATTCACATCAAGATTCATTTTCGATTCTCTTAATATACAGAAGATCAGCTTAGTATACATTAAGTAAAGATTTCAACAGTTTGCTCCCACACAGAAACATAAAGTGAAAAATGATAGATGGTTTTTTAAATGATGATGAAATCAGATCTGACCTATTGTCATGTTTAATCCCAGTCCTCCACTCACTCCTATTCCCATTCTTATGTTTTACAAAGATCTATTTTCAGTTAACTCTACACTCAAAAGATTATCCCTATACTACATAAAGAGTTCAACAAATAGTATGAAGAAAAAAAAAAAAACTGTTCCTCAACGTCAAGATAAGGGCTCTTCCAAATCATCGCATCTCTAAGAGTCAGTCCTCTTCTTGACAGATTCTAGCCAGGCCCCTTTGAGCTGCCTGACTGAGTAGGCCTCCACCATGGCCTGATGCTTGAGTACTGCACTCACAGTTGCTGACAGGCCAAGGCCACATCCCTAGGATGACTCTAGCCCCTCTTACAATGCCTGCCTCAGAAAATTTGAGGTTGCAAAATATCTTACTGCTCGTTCCAGCCATCACCTGTAACTCTGTCTTTGAGCCCCTGTGGAAGTACAGCAGCATAAACTTTACAAATGCCAGTTACACCCAGAGAGATTTCACATGAACCAAATCCACTTCCTGCTGTTTCATCATTTTCTATGTCCCTGAGTCTACTGAACCCCTATTCACTTCCCTCTCTATTCCCTCCCATCAAAACTCAAATGATGGCGTCTCCTCCAAAAGAATGTTGAAACTGAGTCCCCATTGCAGACACATTGTGTGGTCTTTGGGAGTGATTATGTCCAAGGGCTCCACCATTGCGAACAGGATTAGCACCATTATCAAAAGAATCACGGCTGAAGGGAGTACTCTCTTGTTCTTCCACCCTCGGCTTGATAGCCATTAGATGGACAGTTAGCCATTAGATGGGGCCATTCTGAGGAATGGGCCTTCACCATACACCCCATAAGCTGGGACTTTGATCTTGGACTTTCTAGCCTCCAAGACTATGACAAAGTAAATTTCTGTTCCTTATAAATTACTCAGTCTTGGGGATTTTATTATAGTAGCCCAAGAAACCAAGATGGTTTTATAATAAATAAAAGTTAGATTCAGTTCATGATGGATGCCTTTCTCTATTGCAATAGGGATTAAAATCTGGGCTTACTATGTGAGTGAGTATCTGGCTTTGTTGATCTTTGACAAGGTTCATTTGGCAATTAACACCTTCTGTCTTAAAAATGGAGCATTTGGGGCCAGTGGTGGAGCAGATTAAGCTGACACTTGCAATACTGGCATCCCATATGGACTCTGGTTTGTGTCCTGGCTGCTCCACTTCTGATCCAGCCCCTGCTAATGACCCAGGAAAAGCAACAGATGATGGCCCAAGTGTTTGGGTCCCTGTACCCACAAGGGAGACGCGGATGAAGCCTCTGGCCCAGTTCTGATTGCTGCGGCCATCTGGAGTGTCAACCAGCAGCTGGACGATCTCTCTCTTTGTGTCTGTCCCTCTATGTAACTCTGACTTTTAAATAAATAAATAAATCTTTAAAAATGGAGCATTTTAGTATCATATAGCAAAACAATACCCAAGAGGTGAAAACAATAAGACTAGACAAGAAACGATCCTAAGAACTCCTTCTTAATAGGGAGAAACAATTTAGAAAAACACATGAGAAAGATGAATTCCGCTGAAATTGTTGCAACAATAGAAATGGGAACTTATTTAATGGGGGAAACTGGAGGAAAAATTAAGATCATTTAGTAAAAATCACATTCAAAGACAGGGACCAGTGGTTTCAAGGGAATGTGTACAGGTCAGCAAGCTTCATTAATAATGAACAGAACCGGGAAGGATCACTGGAAAATGATTTCAACTTCAGGAACATAAAAGTCATATGTGCTAAGAACAGTTTTGGTTTTTTGCTTTTACAAAATGAAGCAGAGGATCCAACTGAGAACCACTGTGCTTTTTGCACAGTAGTGAGCCCCTCCGTGGGCTAATGATCTTACAGACTAAATGATTCCACAGACTAAATTGCATCCCCTCCCCCAGATCTCTATGCTGTAGTCCTGACTCCCCAGTAGAACTCTATTAGGGACAAGGATTGAAGCAGATGAGAAGGGTGAGGTCCTAATCTCACGGGGATGGCAGCTTCAGGGTAGAGGAAGAGAGAGAGAGTGCTCTCTCATAGGGTGACCACACAGTGGGAGGACCCTCACTGTCCTTGACCTTGGGCTTCTCAAACTCCAGAGCTGTGAGAAATCAGATTCTGCAGTTTAAGCAATGCAGTCTACTGTGCTTTGTTAAGGTGGCCCAAGCAGACAAATATAACTAATAAACTGTAGTAAGTAGTGGCTAAAAGGTATAACCACATGATGAGTTAGCTCAACCTTCGCATATACCTGAAGAGGAATTTGATATAGGTATTCCCACAAAGAACGAGGTCTTGGGGAGAATACTGGGTTAAACACAGAACGACTTAACGTTCATATCTTACTGACTTACCTATCCCTGTTAGAGTGTCTGCATGCCAATACCCATGGTTCAGCGTTTCTCAGCCTTGGCACTCCTGACATTTCGGTCAGGTTAGCTGTTTGCTGCATAGGCTTGCTGTGCGTTGTGTAGGGCACTGAGCCACATTTCTGGTATTTATCCACAAGATGCCGTCCCCTTCCTTACTTTGCTCCAGCCACACTGGCCTCCTCGCTATTTTACCAGGTGGCTGGCCATGTTCTCACCCAGGCCATGTACCCCAGCCATTTCCTCCAGGAAGCATACTTGCCCCAGACCTCCACAAAGCCTACTCCCTGGTCCCCTTCCAGTCTGCTCAAGTTACACTGTGCCCTCTCAGTTGCAAACTGCAAGTCTCATTCTGAAACTTCCCTTCCCTCCCGGAAGGACACCCAGCTTTGAAAGGGAAACTGCCTCCAGATAGAGCCAAAAGCACCTTTGGGGAAACAGCCTCTGGTTAGGAACTACTGCTATGCAGTTGGTGCCACTGATCTTAGACTATTTCACAAAGATAATTCGATTTGATGTCTACATTGCTCTGTCTGTAAAACTATCAGTGTTGCTAGCAAAGAAGGATCTTCATGGGAGAAACAAAATATTGTGTTCCTGATGACGGCCTACAGTGGGACAGGATCAGAGTACTAAAAGCAGCCTGCCTTTAGGCTGCTCATTTCTTCTTCCTCTTACTACAGGGTAGGGTTGATGCAGTCCATATCAGGCAAGGAGAATGCAACAGAAAGTCAGATGAGTGTGAATTTATATAACCTGGCCTTAGCCCACTCATTTATTTGAGGCAAGTTACAGAAATATAAATAATAGGATAAAAATAGATTAAGAATAATCAAGGTAAGGAAAAACATCCCAGGAAAATACAATGTAGCCTAGAAAGTTTGTATTCAAGTTGATGCCCCGGGTCCTGAGCTCTTGCTGAAAGTAGGTTGGATTAAATCTGCTGAAGAAAGAGAATGATCAATTATAAAATGCATGTGTACCCACAATGTATACAAGGAAAGATAACATTGAAAACTGAGAAAAATCCCCTCTATGGATCCAAAACAGAAAACAGTATGATGCATTAGACACTTCTCTAAGTAAAGCAAACTTCTCATCTTTGATTTTTCCCTACCTGAACTAGGCAAAATCAATTACTCTTTTTATACCAAAAATTACTCACAGGAAATATAAAGGAAAACTGTCATGAGCTCACAAATAAACCGAATAACTCATTGACTAATCAAGCCATTAATAATGATCCATTTTAGTTCCATGTCACTTATATCACAGTATTAGTCCCTAGATAATCCTGTGAGCATTTCATAAACACAAAAATTACAACTGCAGGAGGTCAAGGAACTTGCCCAAGATCACAAATCTCACACATGTGTAAGAAGTTACATTTAAATCACACATATGTCTGTACCCATTGCTTTTTTTCTATGACACAACTGTCTCACCTCTAAGGTATTTTATATGTGAAATTTTGTTTTGTAAATACGTATTTTAAGGCATGTGTTCATAGTATATTGGTTGGCAAAGTTTCAGATGCATATGAAAGAAATCTGTGAGGTGGCTTAAACAATAGCAGTTTACCACTTCACAACCCTGCAGAGAAGCCAGGCCCCTGGGGTGGTGAAAACAGAGGCACACAATCTCCTGAAGAACCACGGCTCTTCCCACCTCTGCTTCCCCAGCCTCAGCGTCAGCTTCATCCACAAGCTGCTTCCCCATTTGCGCAGGATGCTGCGGTAGTTCCAAGCAACAAGTTAACCATGACAACATCCACTGGGAGAAAAAGCCCACTTGTTTGCTTTCTTCTTCTTCTTCTTTTAAATATTTACTTTATTTATTTGAAAAGCAGAGTTCCAGGGACTGGGTGGAGGGGGGAGACACATAAAGAAAGAGAGAGAGAGAGAATCTTTCATCCACTGATTCACTCCCCAAATGGCTACAACAGCCAGGACTGGGCCAAGCTGAAGCCAGGAACCTGGCAATCCATCCAGGTCTCCCATGTGGGTGACAAGGGCCCCAAACTCAGGCCATATTCTGCTGTTTTCCCACGTGCACTAGCAGGCAGCTGGATGGGAAGCAGAGGCCTCAAACTGGTGTCCATGTGGGATGCTGGCTTCACCGGCAGTGGCTTAACCTGCTGCCCCACAATGCTGGCTCTGCTCTTCTTACACAGTAAAATTGAATTATGGTTTACATACCCTATTAGTCTTCTTTTTGGTTCTTCTGTGTGTTATTTAAAGTAGAGTACTGAAATTTCTATTATTGTTTAGTTGTCCAACTGTCCTTTCATTTACGTCAGTTTTTCCTTCATGTATCATGGATACTGTGTTATTGGTGAATAAATGTTTATAATTGTTATACCTTTCTGATTTCTTGCTTTGTTTATCATTAACAATCATGACCTTTTAATTTTAAAGTCCATTTTGTCTGGTAATAGTGTATTCAACCTTCTTGTAGCTGCTGGTGGCATACTGTTATCTTTTCCTTTCTACTTCCAACTATTTGTGCCTTTTATTCTGAAGTATTTCATCCTTAAACCAGAGGCTGATCTTGATATTTGATCCAGTCTGACAATCTCAGTGCTTTGATTGAGTTGTTTCATACATTCACACTTACTGTTATTTCTAATATAGATGGATTGATGCCTACCATTTTACTCTTGTCTTCATTGTCTCTGATTTTTTTTGTTCCTCTACCCCTCCTTTACTGCTTTCTTTTGCATTAAGAGGCTGTTAAAAATGTACCATTTTAATTTCTTCATTATTATTAGCTTTTTAAAGTTACATTTTTATGGGCTGCCCGAGGACACACTGTGTGCGTGTGTGTGTGTGTGTATCATCTGACCAGCATCAAATTTATACTAAACTGTCACTCCCCCATTCGCGGAGGAATGACACTAGACCCTGCGCTGTTCTTTCTGCCCGGCTCTTCCCAGGTTAGCTGCCGGCCCCTCCACCTCCGTGGAGGGGCGGCACCCCCCGCCGCTTTCCCCACTTCCACAGAGGAGCGGCACACCGGCCGGCTCTCTCGGGGGCTGCTCAGATGTTATCCGGATGTTCCCTCAGATGTTCCTGGTGCATGTTGTCTCTTTCCTCCTTTATAGTCCTCTTCCACCAATCCCAACTCTGCTGCCCACACGCCGAGCATGCTGCTCTCCTCCAATCAGGAGCAGGATCAGCTCCTGCAGCTTATCAGTCAAACTGGCAAGGCAGCTGCGTGAAAGTTGTTTGGTCTCTCCCAGCGCCATATTGTGGGAGAGCAGATGCATAGAATAAGTCTTAATTCCAGTAACTTAGTCTAGTCTCAGTTGCTCCCCACACTAAACTCTAACCAGAATAGAAATGTTACTTGCATATTGTTCTGTTCTCTTTTCTTACTTTTTGTAGTCCTATTATATATATAAAAATACATATGCATATATATGTAAGTGCTACCAATCCAACAATACATTAAATTTCTGTTTCATATAATTTAATGACTTTTAAAGAAGCTGGGAGAAGAGAAAGGGTATCTTTGTGGCTACTATGACATTAATGTTCTTATTTGTTCTTTCTGCTTCCCTTCCCTGTTTATGTTGCTTAGCGATACCGTCTGGACAGGTATAGCCTGTTCCCACATATCCCACCTGGGCTGTTATTATTAAACACATTGCACTACATTACATACATACTTTATACAATTGTTTTCCAAACCAGTTAGGAGAAAATATGCATTTATATTGCATTTTATAACTCCTTAGTTACCTCTGCTGGCCCTTTATTTTTCATGTGGATTTGGATTAATGTCTGAAGTCATTTGGTTTTATTCAGGAAAACTTTCACTAGTATTTCTCGTCAGCAAATTCTCTCAGTTTGTGTTTATCTGGAAATATTCTTATTTCACCTTCAATTTTGGAAGATGAAAATAGGATATCCGACTGACAGTTTCTCCCTCTGGCATGCTGAATATGCTACCTCAGTGCTTTGTGGCCTTCATGATTTCTTCTGAGAACTCATCTGTTAATTTTGGCAAGTTCTTTTGGAAATGTTGAGTCATTTTCCTCTTGTTGCTTACTAAATGTTCTCCAAATCTTTGGATTTTAGTATTTTTACGAGGATGTGTCTGTGGCTATCTCTCTGTGGTTAACCTACTTAGTTTGTTGAACTTTCTAGATATGTGGCTTAGCATTATGTAGTAATTTTGGAAAGTTTTCATCCATTATTCCTTCAACATTTTTTCTGTTTTTATCTCTCTCCCATCACATATATGTAGGCACACTTAATACTGCCCCACATTTCTTTGGTGCTTTATTCATTTTTCATCATTTTTTCTCTGCCTTATTCAGATTACATAACTTCTATTGCTTTTTCTTCAAGTTTGCTAATTCTTTCTGCTTCAAGTTCTAATCTATTGTTAAGCCCCTTCAACAAAGTGTTATTTTACTTACTGTATTTTTCCAACTCAATAGTTTCTATTTTTACCTTAATATAATTTCTATTTCTTTCATTGACATTTTATATTTGGTGTGATATTACCATTGCATCTTTTTTTTACTCTTTAATCGTGATTTTCTTCAGTTATTAACTTGTTCCTAATGGGCACTTTGGAGTCTTTTCCTGCTATGCTGACTCCTGATCTGTCTGACAGACCTCATCTTCTTCATACTAGATCAAGTTTTTGCTGTATTTTTAAATTCCCTATTATTGTTGTTGGAAATTGTACACTGTAGTCAACATATTAGCACAATGCCGGGCACTAGCACCCTCCTTCCAGGGCTTATTTTCATTTTCGTTTTGTTTCTTCAGTGAATGGCTGGATTGTTTCAGCAAACTCTACCCACCCCTCCCCTCTGATTCTGGAGCCTCCAGTCACTCTGGAACCAGGGTGGTTTGGGCAGGGCTTTCTTTGCCTCCTCCCCTGACCACACCCACATTCCTCATTTATGGCCTCATCCCAGAGCACTGCCCTTCACCTCGCCCTCTTTCAGGAAGGCTCCTCCCTCAGACATCATCTTGGCTTAGTGTCCTATTTCATTCAGGTCTTGAGTCAAAGGTTATTTCAAAGGAAAGAACTTCTTGGCAAAGCTATCTGAACAGTATCTCTCTTGGGTTGTTTTCTGTTTTAATTTTGTCCACAATATTTATAACAATTGGCATGATAGTGTGATTTATTATCATCATCACCATTATCACAGTCGAATCACAAGGCATGGACTTTACCTCCCATATTCATTGTTACATCACTTCCAGACTCTAAAACAGTTCTAGGATCCTGGTAGGTGCTCACTGAGTTTTGACATACTAATGAATGAAAACATTAATGTATGTATACTCTCTCCTCATACTAGGTATTAAAAGTGAGGAATCGGCCAGTGCCGTGGCTCACTAGGCTAATCCTCCGCCTTGTGGCACTGGCATACCGGGTTCTAGTCCCAGTCGGGGTGCCGGATTCTGTCCCAGTTGCCCCTCTTCCAGGCCAGCTCTCTGCTGTGGCCCGGGAGTGCAGTGGAGGATGGCCCAAGTCCATGGGCCCTGCACCCGCATGGGAGACCAGGAGGAAGCACCCGGCTCCTGGCTTCGGATCAGAGCGATGCGCCGGCCACAGCGCGCTGGCCGCAGCGGCCATTGGAAGGTGAACCAACGGCAAAAGGAAGACCTTTCTCTCTGTCTCTCTCTCTCACTGTCCACTCTGCCTGTCCAAAAAAAAAAAAAAAAAAAAAAAAAAAGTGAGGAATCTTGAAAGAAGGCCAAGGATGAGAAAAATGCGGACATTGAGACCCTAAGGGCAAACTTCTTATCTCTGCCTTCTTGGATTTGTTCTTCTGTGCATGTACACAAGTAACTCCCACTGGAAGAGTGTATACACCTTACTCCCCTTCTCTGAAGCCTCACAAAGCCCAGGTTACAAGGCAGGAGAGAGAAGGTACAGAAAGAGCAGGATGTAATGGTTTGGCTAATAGCGGGGTCATGCCCCAAAGGCCAGGGTTAAAGTGCTTGATCTCCAGAGTCCTATATTGGTGGGTAGAAATGGAATGTAATACAGTTTTGGTGGGGCCTTAAATGATCATCAAATTGGACTAAATCGTTAGGGGACAGCCAATGTGATCAGATCATGGTGGCTTTATAAGGAGAGACCACAAGGACAGCAAAGGACAAGCATGCGCACTCTCTCTGCTGCCTCAATTTCCATGCACCCTTCCTTTGCATGCATTCCACCCTCAGCAGATGCCAGACCCATGGGGCCACTCAGCTTTGGACAGTGACTCTCCAGAACCATGAGTGAAATTAACCTTTTCATCTGTAAATTAGCTTCTGTTTGGTATTTTAGTTATAGTAATGAAAAGCTAATACAGAGAGCAAAAGGAATTTAACTCTGCTAAATATTCACAAACACAGTCATTCTCGGGGTTGGAGAAATGTGTACAAAGGTAAGTGTTAAGACCGTAGGCACTTCAGGGGAAATATAACATGCAGGTTCCCTCAAAATGCTTGCAAATAGTTCTATGTAATCTGGTCATTCTTCTGCTAAAATGGCTTTAAAGATTCCCCTATTTCCCCCAGGAAAAAGATCCAGACCTGGCCTCAGCTTTCTCCAAGCGTCTATCAAATAACCTGCTTCCCAACCTTGCTAGCCTCCCTTTGGTCCCTCGGATGGGGCTTAGCATCTTCTTAGATATGGCCCTCCTCCCTGCAAACCTTTCTCTTCAGCTACTGCTGAGAGTGTTAAAAATTGCTGTAAGTCATGTTTTAGGTCTCAGTGCAAATCTCACCACCCACAGCCTCTTCTGACCCTCTTAACAAAACATTCCCCACAGTCCCCCATATAGGGTAGAGTTGGCTTCTGTGACAAGTGGAGTTCAACACAAAAATGGCTCAAATGCAACAGGGTTTGTATCTCCCTCAGGTGGCAGTCTGAGATGGCATCATTTCAGGACTCAGGCCATGTGACCTCCAACGTCTTCAGCACGCAGTGCTCAGGACCATCGTGATTAGCTGCACCCCAGTCAGCTGAACCAGGAAAAGAGTGTGGAGGGGAGCTGCTGGGAGAGTCACGGGCCAGACCTGGAGCCGGCACACATCATATCTCATGTGCCATCGGCTACAAGTCAGTATATGGCCATGCCGGATGGCAAGGAAGACTGGGAAATGCAGTTAACTGCATTCCCAGGAAGAACAGGAGAATATAGATTTTGCCCAAAAAAAGCAGCAGAATCTGTCACAAGCTCCCTTCTCTTCCCTTTCCTTTGTATTTTTCTACAGCTCCTGACTTGATCACAAAGTTCAGTGCACGTATATATACAAAACTTGCAAAGTCTATGAAGACAGGGACTATTAATAGTGTGACTATTCCCCATTATATCCTCTGGCAAGGAGGTTTTTTAGTAAATGTTACACTGAACCATGCAAACTGCTGTTTCATTGGTCATAAAAAGTTTAATGTCAGCCATTCCAAAGAACAACCTTTATGGCCCATCTCTGGAAAATGGGCTGTTTAGTAGAGCATCTCCCACAGGTACATGCAAAGCTATTGCACACAACCCAGCTGTTGCCTACTTGCTTCTTCCCACTGGTCTTAGGCCTTGTTGGGCAGTTTAAATCCTTTCCAGGGAAACACTTGTAGATCAAAGTGTTTTATGGTCTAACCATGAGGTCATGTAGCCTGTGAAAACCTGGGGAGAGAGTCCAAGGACTCACCCACAGACCTTCACTGGGGCTTAGGAGGAAGATTTCTCAGGCACATTGATGAATGACAGGCTTCAGTTCTATCCCAACTAAGCAAACATTTGTTCAGCATCTACTATGTGCCAGGAATGGTTCTAGAGCCAAAGACAGAAAGACGAGTGCTTCCCCTGAGGACCTCCTAGACTCGCTAATGATTCACAGTCCATTTGTCTTGGAAATGGCCCTTTGGCAGTCTTGAGAAGAATGGGCAGGTCAAGAGAGAAAGGAAACCTCTGGAAGTTGGTTTTAGTAGCCCAGGCAGGAGTGGCCTGTAATCTTCACTTCACCGCTCTTTCTTGATGACCCTTCCTCCTTCTCGTTTTCCCTCCCACCTTTCCTTCTAGAAGAAGAGAGGGCAGGAAGAAGGGTGCTAACGTGAGGGGTCAAGGGGCTGCCGAAACACAACTGTTCCAAGAGGAAAGCAATGGTCTCCCACCTGCTGATAAGGGATCCACTCCCTAAGGCTCAGACAGGGACAGCCGCTGTGCAGATAAATGCCTCTGGAAGTCTGCTGTGTCAGAACGAACTTCACCCGAGAAGCTGCCCACACCTTCCCAATGCCACAAAAGAGAGAAAATCGCTGCTTCTGAATTAAGAAAAATTGGAACCTCAAGCCTGTGTGAGACCAAAGTGTGCAGCCTTTTCCTGGTGTCCACCTTACCGCTTGGCCTCCACCTGCCCCTTTATGGGCGTGCAGCTGGAGCTCCGGAAAAGAAAGCCCCCTCCAGGGTGTGTGCGTTCCATCATTTGTCAAGCAGAAGCAGTCTTTCTGCTGGGTCTTTGCTGCTCTCAGGCTCTGCGCTAAAAATAGGCTTTCCAAAGAAAGCTCCCTTTAGGTGGTCCTACCAAGGCAATTTACATTATCAGCTCCAAGCTTCAAGACTAATTTGGAACACTGCTGCATTTGATGTGCTCCATTTTTGCACAGTGGTGCTCACTAGAGTGATCTCAGACTTGAGCCAGGAATTAGGACAGGAGGTGCAGGTGGGACTAGCGTAGTTTTAGGTGCCCTGTAATTTGCAATCAGGTTTTCTGCACAGAGCTATCAAATTCTTCTGCCCGTTTTTTCCTATTGCATTATGGTTTAAAACACCTGCCTACCAAAGTACACTCATGTAAGCTTGCTACTGATTCCAGTATCTTTGTGAGGTCCCAGTTCCCTTTTAAGGTATTTGGGGAGACAAGTCAGCTGCAGAGTCAAAGTGGGTGAAAGAGCACCCATGTCAGAGTATCAAGACCCTCAAGGCAGTCCTCAAATTAGGTGGCATTGCTTAAGATCTCTGGACATTTTCAGAGAGCCTGAGCCTAACACCCAGCTTCACCACTGCTTGCCTGGCTGTGGAGATGGGTCCAGCCATCTGTGTGGAGTGCCTGAGCCCCCTCAGGAACTGGTAAGCTGTCAGTGTTGACCCCATTCAAATGTCTTCCTTCAGAGTCACGACTCCACTGCTAGGTCACACTTCCCTTACAAAGAGCACATGTAAAACTGGTCACGATATAAAAAGAACTTTTATTACTTAATCATTTTGACATCCTCATGGGGTGACTTAAATTGTAAGGATGAGGACATAGGAACAGGCGTGTAGCCTATCTGTTAAGATGGCCTCGTACCATGTCGAATATCTGGGTCATAGGATGGCCACTTGCTCTGACTCCAGCCTCCTGCCGCTGTAGACCCAGACCAGCAGCAGTGACGGTCCAACGGTGAGATTCTTGCCATCCATGTGGGAAGCCTGGATTGAGTTCCTGATTTCTGGCTCACTCACTCATCCTCTCTCTCTCTCTCTCTCTCTCTCTCTCTCTCTCTCTTTCTCCCCCTCCTCCTCTCCCTCTCCCATCCCCTCAAAAGACTTATTTTTTTAAGTGAGGAAATGAAAACTTGAGAGAATGAACTGACTCATTCAAACTTTTGCAAATTTCAAGCATCGGAGTACCGGAAATACACCTGCTCGTATGTTAAGGACATTCAACATCTACTTGGTAACATGTCTCCGCAGAAACAAGACACCTCTTAACATTAAAATCTCAAGTGTGAGGGTCTGCCTCTCTTGCAATCCCCTCCTGACGCTGTAGGGTTTCTCACTTAAATAAATCTTCGTGGCTAAAAGGAAAATCTCAAATTTGTCCCTCCTTTTACTGATCCAGCAATTATAACTAAATATCTAATGTATATATCAGGCATGTAGTGGCTTTTGTTGCTGTTTTTTTTGTTTCATTCATTAAATATATATAAATTTTACATAATCTCATAAATCTTACTTCTTAATCATTTTTCAAAAACTATTCTTGTATTAATGGAACCTTCTGCATTAACATATAATATGAAAAGAAAGCTATTGCTATCTCCACTTTAACTTCCTTTCCTTAAAATGTTTAACTTATTGGTTTTCGCTTTATTTGAAAGACAATGAATGAGACAGACAGAAATCTTCCATCCAGTGATCCATTTCCCAAATGCTTGTGACAGCCAGGACTGGGCTAGGCTGAAGCCAGGGGACAAGGACTCTATCTAGGTCTGCCACAAGGATAGCAGGGACCCAAGTACTTGAGCCATCGTCTGCTGTCTCCTCAGCAGGAAGCTGGAATGACCTGCACATTAGCAAGAAGCTGGAATCAGAAGTGGAGCCAGGACTCAAACCCAGGCACCCTGGTATGGGATACAGGCGGAATATATGCAACATGCTAAGAACAATGTCTAGCTTATGATACGCACACAAGAAAATGTTGGCTAGAATAATTGCTCCTGAAAGTGAGCCACTTCGGAAATGGGGTTCAAGCATGCTCTGATGGCAAGATTTTGGGAAAGACACGAAAATTTCCCATCAATCTTTCGGAGTCTCACTTTCACTCTCCAGTAGTGGAACCTGGATAGAAACCAGATAGGGTGAGAGCAGAGTTTCTAGATGTACTGAGTTCCAAATGCAGAACACGTGAATAACTGCGAAGTTCAGATAAAGAACGGCTGCGTTTCCGGTATGGGTACGTCTCGTGAAACACTTGCAACATTTATATGAAAACTGCATTTCTCTTTTACCTGGAATTCCAAGTCTAACTGGGTTCCCTATATTCCATCAAAGCACTTCTAGGTAGGGGACCACTGATGATTTCCTTATTGATGAGCCTTCTGGGCAGAGAGCAGGATGGAGAAAAGCAGGAAGGGAATTTTCTGAGACAAACAGGAAATAACCTGACACACCCGTTAGCTCATCTTTTTGCCCAACATAGAGTATGTTTTTTCTCCAGAAAAGCTTTCAACTTCAACACAGAGGTTTCAGTCATTTACCTAGCATCATGGGGCGATGGCGGTTAGGTCACAGCTGTCTGAAACCTCAAGGTCAGCCTACTGCTGTGGTGTACTTCGTACAATTTCAAAAGGAGAGGATGGCAGAAACAAATGACAGGAAGTAAGAGCTGGCCGCATGCACAAAGTTGTACTGCCCTCTTCTGCTCTGTATTCCATGTTCTCTCACCTCCTGTTAGCATCTTCTTGATCTGGACAAAGAACCCACGCCTGCAGGAACTGGGTCCTCACTGTCTTCTCAGGTTTCCACTGCCCACCTGGATCAAGGGAGCTCTGAGAGGCGACCCCTGAACTCTTTGAGTTGCAAACACAGAGTTCCTTGCCTCCTCACCATTTGTGCGGCAGCAAAACTTCATTCCCCCAGAAAAGAGACTCACCCACTCCGAACCCAAGCACACTCTGGGAGAGGTGTTTCAGCGGCAAGAGAAGATCCAAGTGGCCAGAGAGGCCTCACTTTCCATTTGGGTGGAAGGATGTCAATATTCCTGAGTGCAAGCTTTCCTTCCTGGGCACAGGACCTCCAACCCGACCGGGCTTGATTTACAGGAATGGGAAACAAATTCCCACACTGGGTTATTAGGCAGAGTGAAGAGAGAAGCGACTTGTATGCCCAATTCCTGGACATGTTCATTCATTTTTTTTTAAATAAAGATTTTATTTATTTACAAGTCAAAGTCAAAGCTACAGAGAAGGAGGCACACACACACACACACACACACACAGGTCTTCCTTCTACTGTTTCCCTCCTCAAATGGTTGTAATGGTCAGGGCTGGCCAAGTCAAAGCTAAGAGCCAGGAGCCTCATCTGGGTCTCCCATGGGAGTGGCAGATGCCCCAAGCACTTGGGCCTCCTCTGCTACCTTCCCTGGTCATTAGCAGGGAGCTGGATCATAGGGGAACAGCAGGGACATGAACTGGTGCCCAAACGGGACAGCAGTATCCCAGGCAGAGGCTTAACCTGTTAGGTTAAGCTGGCCCCCTGGATGTCTCCTCTTGTTCCTGAATCCCAATGTATCTATTCACAGCCTGGGTCCTCCTGGAACACCCCCTAACCCACCACAGGTGCAAAGCTCCTGGATGGGAATGGTGGGCTTCGCCCCAGCCAGGCTGCTGCCCCTACTTCTTCCAATTCTTGAAGGCTCCCTTCTCCCAGCCTGCCCCCGCCCTGCCCCTACCAGTGATCACCATGCATTCCCTAGGGGCATCTCGAAGCTTCAGCATTCTTGATTGGCAAAAGGGCTGCCTAGACAGCTAGGTCTGCTCTCTCTCCTACAGGAAGGATTTTTCTGTTCTTTTTGAAGGAAAAAGGCTGACCCTTCCCATATATGGGAAGCTGTGGCATGCACAGGACATTGCCCAAACTCATTACTTGTTTATTTGCTGCTTCTTTAACCAAGATCCTAGAAGACGGGGCACCTGGTGACACCAGTGTATTTCATGAGCATAGACTCATTGCCTCACCTGTTTTTCCATAAAATGTGTTCTTTGCTCAGGACCAATGATTGGAGATACCATGTTACTTTATAAAACATTCTGTAAGTTCACACGTGGTGGTGCTGAGAGAAGCATTTTGGGCAAAGAAAGTAAATGACATCTAGAATTTTTACCTACTCCTTTGAGCACCAAAAACTGTCCCCAACAAGACTGAAAGGCTTTAGTGTTATCTACCTGCCACTAGAAAGCCAATTTGCACCCACCAGATAGCTCAGAATTGGCCCTAACTCTTGTTCACTAAGCAGTAATTGAAAACAAAATCTGTATATTTTTAAGCCTACAGGCAGATTCTATCCCTGCTGCAATGCCCACTTTGTCCATGAGCCCTTGAGTCTGCACAGGGCACATGGGTAAAGGAGAGTCACCAATATCCAGAGAATTGGTCATCTTGGCACCTGACCTTGGGATGAAGTGGCCAGTGTGATGGTTAACTTTAGCTATAAGCTTGACTGGATTAGGATATACCTAGAGACCTGGAAAAGCATTATTTTGGGTGTGTTTGCAAGAATGTTTCCAAACAAGGTTAGCATGTGAGGTTGAGTGTACTAGGAGATAAGACCAAAGCTGGATTGGCTGTGGGTCTGGAGGGAATCAATACAGAAGGCAAATTAGCATCTCACTCTGAGAGCTGGGGCAGTCTTCACTCCTGCCCAGGATGTCAGCTGCTGACCTCTGGTCTCCAAGACTCAACTCCACCAGCCCAGTTTCCTAGCACTCACGTTTTCAACCTCAAACCAAGAGTTCCACCCTCAGCTTCCTGGTCATTGGACTGGGACTGAGTCAGCTACAGGCATCCCAGGGTCACCAGCCTGCCACCAGCCTGTCACGAGACTTCTCAGCTGCCAAAGTTGCATGAACCAATTCCCCCAACAACCCCACTGCATGTCTGTTTACACAAACCCTGTATCTATAGGACCTTGACTAATACAACCAGGAATCCAATATCTCACACTTTGTGTACATCCCAAAGCTTCATCCATATGCTTCAAGAGAGATCCCATCACAGTGTTTCCTAGTTGTTGTTTTTTTTTTTTTTTCAAATCTAATGCCCATCCATTAGCTGCTTTCCAGAAACTCCCCCTCACTTTGTAGAAGAAGAGAAGCAGATTACCTTTCAAAGTTCTTCCTCCTGGAAGGATTCTCCTTCACTACTGTCTTCCCAGGAAACTTGGTGGACGCAGCTACTTACCAGACTGGAGCTGGTATGCGCTGCAGGCTTCCCCATGTTTCTTCTCCACTGGCTGCCCCTAGGAGAGTGCCCATGAGGCCACGGCTGTGGGGTTGAGAGAGACAGCGAAGGTGTTGACAGCGCTCTGCTTTTTGAGCAGATGTACTTTGTTTTATCATTAATATTTCCATTTGTAGTTGCCATTTATGTTAAATATATTGTTTGTATGAAAGGAAGAATGAAAGAGAGATCAAGAAAGGAACAAAGAAACAGAAGGAAGGAAGGGGAAAGAAAGTTAAAAATACACCTGTGGTCAGTTAATTAGGCAAATGATGCTTTTCTGTATACTACTTAGGAAATTTAGCTTACTCTGTTATTTAATTTTTAATGTATTTTTATTTGAGAAGCAAGGAGACACGGAAAGGAGGAGAGGGAGAGAGGGAGAGAGTTCCCATCAGCTGGTTTGCTTCCCAAATGCCTGCAACAGCCCCAGGCTTGGGACCAAAGCCAGAATACAATCCTGTACCCCAGGTGGGTGGAAGGGACCCAACTACTTGAGCCACCACCATTGTTCCCAAAGTGCACATTAACAGAAAGCTGAATCAGGAGCAGGGCCAGGACCCAGGAACTCAAATAGGGGATTTGGCATCCCACGCAGTATCTTAAATACTAGGCCAAGTGCCCACCCTCTGACTTACTCTTTGGTATCAATTCAAAGAGCAATGTTTAGTTACTCACTAAATCTCAATTTCCTAAGTTTTTAAAAGAAATTTTTAGTACCTGAATTACAGAATTTGCGGCCTAGAAATAGAGAATATAAAGAAACTAACATGTTTCAGCACAAAATAATTGTTTATTAGCGATACTACAAGAATGCTTACCTAACAATGTGTCAGTTTAATATAATAGGTTCCATTGCCATAACACAATTATACCACATGTACTTTTTTCAAATCAATGAGCTTTAAAAGCCTTATGAATTTAATGGTGTAGTCCTGCTTGATTCCATGGTTCTTACAAACAAAAGATAAATTCTAACACTGCCAGTTTCCATGGAACATAAAGTAGGAATTACAAGGCCAAATACTTGTCAGTATTTTGGTTTCAGAAGTTAGATCTAATTTTTGAGTTTATGCTATTTTACATATTTTCCTCTAGGCATTACTCACTGCCTCTATAATTCTAGCAATGCTAATATTTAATTTATATGTTCAGTGAGTGAATAACATAATTTGGGCACCCACACAGAAAAAACTCTAAATAACTTCAATAGCATTTTAATGTGGTTATATTAATAAAAAAACAGGCACAGAGAACACTCACATGGGAGTTTCTTTGTAATGATACTTATGGAATTTTTAACACTGCCAACTAAATAATTAACATGGTAGGTGGTTGTGGGTGGGTGAGTATATCAGGAAACAGGAATAGAATCACAGGCCAGGAAGGATGCAGGAATAATGGTAAGAAGTATCTCATCAAAGTTCTTGGTTTGACCAAAAAAGAGAAGAGATCAGTGAGTAGATTTGTCATATGGTTGCCATGCCAAGTTATCTTTTGGAGGGGAGGGGAGAGAAGATAGGGGAGTGGGGAGGTGAGGGGAGAGAGAAAGGGAGGGGAGAGAAGATGGGGGAGTGGGGAGGGGAGGGGAGAGGGAAAGGAAGGGGAGAGGGGAAGAGATCCGAGAGGGGTGATTTCAACCACATTGGGAGCTTCAGGGGAGGGAAGAGGAATGGGGAGGGGAGAGGAGAAGAGAGGGGAGGGGAAGGGAGAAGAGATGGGATGGGTGGAGAGGAGAGGGGAGGGGATGTTTCAGAACATAAAACAATGAAACTAATTAGATTTGCTGATGGTAGTATAAATTGGGGTTGTTAATTTTTAGTTCTATGTATTTTTAATGTTTTTAAATAAAAATGGCTTTAACTAAAAACTAATAAAGCACAGAAAGTTAAACTAAGGATTGAGGATTGCATGGGGGGAACACTGGTACCCTGTAGGACACTGACAATGTCCTATATTATGCATTATACATTTGATACATTATAATAATGACATTAAGAGTAGGGCAATTTACTGAGTACCTCCCACAGGTCAGGCAAGGGCCTGAGTGCTTTACATGTGTAGATCCAGCCAACAGTCACAGCAGTGTGAGCACAGGAGACACACGAGGCAACTGAAGCTCGCAGATTAAGTCGTTCACCAAGGTCCCGCAGTTGGCAGGTGCAGCACCCAAGTGCTTTGTGTATAACAGCCCAGGATAAACACTGGGTTACTTAATCTGTAGGGCTGGCTAGTCTGTCTTCTGTGGCTGTAACAAAATATCTGAGACAGGGTCATTTATAAAGAATAAAAGTTTATTTGGTTCACAGCTCTGAAGGCTGGGAATTCCAAGAGCATGGCTTGGCGTCTGCTCAGCATCTGGTGAGGGATGTCCTGCTGCAACTAAACATAGTGAGGACATCACACCATGAGACAAAGGAAGTGTGCGGGCTCAGCTGCCTCCTCCTGCTCTTACAGAGTCACTAATGTCATCCTAGGGGACCGAGTCTCAGGACCTCCTCCTCTGATCCTAACACCTCTCAAAGGCCCCCCTCCAAATGTCATCAACACAGGAACTGGAGGATGAAGATTCCAACATATGCAACTTGAAGAACAATCCATAGGAGGAATTTGCATTCTGTCAGCTTTTGGGGGCTATTGGGCACGTTAAAGAGAGCTGTGTCACCAATCTAAGTATTTCCCACTGATGTCTCCTCTGTTCCTGAATCTTCTGGGAATTGCGGAACTCCTAAAGGAATGCTAAGCTGGTTCAATGCTATTATTGCGTGCTCACTTGTTGCCTATGCATTCCTGAAAAGTGTACAAGACAGTTTATCCAGCCACATCCCATCCCTGGTGTTAATAAACTAGATAATAATTCAGTTCTAAAGTCTTATTTCTTCTGTGCATCCCATCTTCTTTTCTCTTGAAATTAATGTTGCTTATATGCAATACCAAAAATAACAAGGACATGGAGAATTTTTAAAGGAATTTGGACATCAGAAATAAAATGCTTACTGCTGCTTTGTTCAACATGTTTGTTTTACTGGAGGTGATAGCAGTATGCATTGCCAACTATCAATAGATTTGTTAGGTACAAGACTGAAAAGCCAAATTATTTCAAGTAGGTAAACTGTCATGACTTTCTCCAATAAGCAATTTTTGTTCATAAATCCTGTGCCAGAGACTGGGCCAAGTATCAGGGCTGTGCATGATAACTGGAGAAAATCCCTGCCCTAATTTACAGCATAAACACTACATCATGGTGGATGATTGCCTCGTTTTAGCTTGACAAGAGCCCAACTGGATGAATTTGCGCAGCCAGCTAATACTTGTGGGGAGTTAGAAAAGTGAAAGAGCTAGCAAAATAAAGGGAAGGGAGGTCCCTCTAAAAAGTGGGGTGGCATTCTCCAAAGACATGTAGTGGTCTACTTTTGAGAGGCACTATAAGATCAGGCCAGCAAGGGTGGGCTTTGGAATCCATGTACAAAGCCTGACTCTGTGACCGACTGACTGTGGTGGGTCTCCAAAAGCAGACTGGCTCCCCTGCCTTCTCTTTCAATGTGACTTTGCATCGCTCCCATCAAGAGGCAGGCTTTGTTTCTTTACCCCTCCTGTCTAACTGTCTAGCCTTTGGATGCCATTTGCCCTACAACACCAGCAGAGGCGTGGCAAGTACTTGAACCACTTGAACATCTGGTGGCCCTTTCCAGGGATTCTTGGGACCTACAGACCACCAGAGGAACAAGTCCAAGCTAACCTGCTGAAGGGGCAGACACTGTGCAACCTGGCAGATGACCTCCAACACCTGAGCTAGCCCAGCAGGACAGTAAAACTGCACAGCTAAGCCCAGCCCAAATCCTTAGCCACATGTTTCTGGGATAAGCAACTGATTGCTGCTTTAATCGCCAAATTTTGCAGTATTTGGTTATAGAACAAAAGCTAATTGGCACACTCAGTGACTTTGGATGATTTATTTTCACCACCTAAACTCAGATCTCCCCATTTCTACCATGGAGGTAATAATAGATATTGGATCCTAGGTTGCTCGAAGTATCAAAGAAAACAGTGCATATGAAGTACTTAGTGCTTTGTGTTTAGTACTTAGTACTCACAGAGGAAGCAATAGATGACTAGCAGCTAATACAATAATTGTTATCTAAATCTAGAATTTAAAGACGGAATTTAATTCAGCCAGAGGTCAAGGTGACTGCATGGGATGCTGTATGCTCCGCATACCAGAGCCAGGCCTTATGGGACAGGTTTTAAAAAGAAAGAAGAAGAAACCAGAGTTTTGACTCAGCTGGTTATCCCACAGTTGAGTCCCAGTAGCTCCACTTCCAAGGTAGCTTACTGCCACTGTGCCAAGGAAAGATGGCCAAGTACACGAGCCACGGTCACCCACAGGAGAGACTCAGATGGAATTCCTGGCTCCTTGCTTCAGCCTGGCTCAGCTCTGGCTGTTGCAGCCATTTAGGGAGTGAACCAGTGAGTGGAAGATCGCTCTCTCTCTTTGTCTCTCCCTACCTTTTCTCTGTCTCTCTGCCTTTCAAATAAAATGAAAGTAAATATTTTCTTTTACAAAAGAGAAATGCTATCTTTGGTGTTCCCTCAAAATTCAACTTTTTGCTTTCTTTTATTTAACAGTTGCCTCTGCACAGTCAAGTCTTAGCAGCTGAAGTTTCAGCTTTATGTGACTTCAGTGGCAGTGCACTCTTCCAGTTCCTCTCCCACAAGGGAACACAAGGAGGTAACTCTGAAGCAGATCACAGGAAGGGTGTGTGGGCTTGCTAATAGCCTCTGGAAAAAAATTAAGTGGTTCAATTCTTCCCACTGTTCTATCTTGAACATCAAGCCTCACAGAATTAATTTTCTAAAAATTAAAATTCTGTCCTAATGGAACACAATGAGGAAAACATGTGAAAGTTCCCTTTTCAATAATGTGGACTTAATTTCTTTTAAGTAGCTTCAAGTAATATCTAATAGCTATGAGTGTTTATATTCTAACTGAAGTCAGAAACAAATTTATGAGCAACAACTACAGTATAACATATTTTGAATTTCCC